AAGAGGGAATAACCACTTTGTTTACAGCTCTTAAGTCCTGGACAAACTGTCTTTCTGTCCCACTATGTTTGTAGAGGAGAAAAAAAAAAAAAAAGAGCATTATAGAGGTTAGTACAGGAAATGATTAACCCCCGGATGATTAGGTCTTCTATTAGTGATGTGATATCTTGTATGGCCTCAAGCTTTAACACATATTGGGGCAATTTGGAAAGACATTTAGTTGTGTCTATTTTAATTTTTATATGCTCTACACTTTTTATTCTCCCACTGTCAGTAATCAAAGTAGTTCATTGAATTCCAGGCACCTCAGTTAAATTAGGAAACTTCTGCTGGAATTCACCTTCTGTAACCACCTGGGTGGCTCAGTTAGTTAAGCATCTGGCTCTTGATTTCAGCTCAGGTCATGATCTAAACCTCAGGTCAGGTTCTTGGGTTCAAGCCCCACGTTGGACTCTGTACTGACAGTGCAGAACCTGCTTGGGATTCCCTGTCTCCCTCTCTCTCTGCCCTTTCTCCCCTGCAAAAAATAAATATTAAAAAAAAAGGACATTAAAGATGACATTCGGGTTGGTAAGGGAACTCTAAAGTGAGGTCACCATTGGAGGCAAACTGTATTAGCTATTTGAATTTAGAAAGGAGATGTTTAGCTAATAGACTGACTAGGGCTGTATCAGAGGGGAAAAAGAAATGTTTTTCAATGAAGGGGCCCTGAGTCATTTACACTTGTTGAGATATAAATTCTCTCTGAACTTTATTACATACTCCCACTATGGAAACTTCTCTTTCATTCCAAGGGAACTGTTGTCCTAGGAGAATGGGGTGTAAAGTAAAAACCATAGCTCTGATATTCACCATTCTCCTTGGCTGTTTAAGGATATTACTGGTAGTAGTTTACTGGAAGTTCCCTGTCAGTCTTAGCAGGAGCCCATATTTGATTATTAATGAATTTGTATAGGACCTTATGGAACAATTTTTTCACCAGTGCCCTAATTAATTACAAGTGAGACATCAGCCCCTGGGCCAGGTTTATTGATAATGGACTCCCAGAGGGATGCAACATGGGTGGTTCAGTAGTTTTGTTTTTTAATTTTTTAATGTTTATTTATTTTTGAAAGAGACAGAACGTGAACAGGGGAAGGACAGAGAGAGAGGGGCACAAGAATCTGAAGCAGGCTCCAGGTTCCAAGCCATTAACACAGAGCTTGATGCGGGGCTCGAACTCACAGACTGCGAGATCATGATCTGAGCCAAAGTCGGATGCTTAACCCACTGAGGCACCCAGGTGCCACAGGTGGCTCATTGTTAAATGAGGTCTCAGGCCTTGGAGCAGTTGTAGTTGTAAGGCCATTAGTTTATGATCTTGGTCCAATGCCTTTCAAAGTGTTCAGTATGGACATGAGTTCAGTTATGCTGGTGTCTTCTTATCCTATTTTGTCTTTTTATTAATCTACTAATGTCAGGGGATAATCCATTTACAAATAAAGCAGCTAGAGAGGCTGGGTGGACTAATTTATAGTACTGAACAGAATGCCATAGGGAGAGTGCTTTCAAATGGACCTTAAAGTCTGCAACAGATTTTTATTTGCATTCTTGAATAATAGAGCAAACAGTGCAAGCAGGGAAAACTGTGCGAATGGCTTGTAAAAGTTCAGTTGCTATTTTGCGAGCCCTTTTTGGTTGAAGACCTTAAACATCATCTTTGAGGATTTGCCATCTTCCTTCCTGCATCCATTTTCGGGCTTCCCTAGGTTCTATCAACATGTGCACAAGCTGATAAAGATCTGGCAGCTCGGGATCATAGGCCCTGTTAGAAGGTGAAGGAAGGACAGTAAAGTATCCCTCAAAGTGAGAAGACTTTGGGACTGGAAAACAAAGCAGAGCACTCCATAGTTTACACAGTTTTATTCAGGGTAACTTCCTAACAGAGGGAACTGGACAAATGACAATCCATCTGTGCAGTTATTCTCTGCAGGGTCTTAACCTTGGTCCACAGATTTTATAGAGGAAGGGGATGCACAGAAGAACAATGTAGTGAGATCAAAAGGTTTACATACACCTCAAAGAGTTTGCAGGTATCTGACAGCTAACCTTTTTTAATTACATGTTTATTTACTTTTGAGAGAGAGACAGAGTGAGAGAATGCAAGCGGAGGAGGGGCAAAGAGAAGGGGAGAGGACATCTGAAGCAGGCTTTGCACTGATAGCAGTGAGCCTGATATGGGGCTCAAACTCACTAACAGAGAAAATGTGACCTGAACCAAGTCAAACACTCAACCAGCTGAGCCACCCAGGTGCCTCAAACTAACACTTAATTACAAGAGGCACCACCTCTTCATCAGGAAGGGGAAAGACTGTGTTATCTCTAACAGATTCATGGGAGGCCAAAACAAGCCTCCCCACATCCTAGCCTTGATGGGCATTTCTGAGGTATGCATATTAACTTCCAAGGGGCCCAGAGCCCAAAGCCCTAAGAGAAGTCATCAAGGGAACCAAATAAGATGGAGGGCCAAAAATTGAGTCAGTATTGTCAGCACTTCTACAAGCCTCAATGAAAACTATAAATTCTTCAAAAAACTTTTGTGCTTCCTCTGTAAGTTTAGAAAATTCTTTAACTACGTCTTTCAGATCTGTCTTTCATCAAGAGATGAAAGGTAACTGAGGAAGTTCATATGCACCTTGAGGTAACTTAATTTTATTTTATTTTATTATTTTATTTTATTTCTTATTAAGTTTATTTATTTATTTTGAGAGAGACAGAGAGAGTGTGAGTCAGGGTTGGGGGGTGGGCCAGAGAGAGAAAGGGAGAGAGAAAAATCCCAAGGAGGGCCCATGCTGCCAGTGCAGAGGCCAACGTGGGGCTCAAACTCCTGAAACTGCAAGATTAAGACCTAAGCTGAAACCAAGAGTCACACACTTAGCAGACTGAGCCAACCCAGGTGCCCCTAAACAGTTGCCTTTTAAAGTTAAATTACTTATGGGGCACCTGGGTGGCTTAGTCGGTTAAGCGTCCGACTTTCGCTTAGGTCATGATCTCGCGGTTGGTGGGTTTGAGCCTCGCGTTGGGCTCTGTGCTGACAGCCAGCTCAGGGCCTGGAGCCTGTTTCAGATTCTGTGTCTCCCTCTCTCTCTGACCTTCCCCTGCTCACGCTGTCTCTCTCTCTCTCTCTCCTAGAAATAAATAAAACATTAAAAAAAAATAAAGTTAAGTTACTTCCAGGGCATCTGGGTGGCTCAGTCGGTTAAGTATCCAACTCTTGATTTCATCTCAGGTCATGATCTCACAGTTTGTGGGTCTGAGCCCTGCAATGGGCTATGTGCTGACCGTGGAGAACCTGCTTCAGATCCTCTATCTCCCTCTCTCTCTGCCCTCCCTTCCTTTTAAAAAAAAAAAAAAAATATGTCTTGATTTTATTTTGAGAGACAGAGAGTGAGCGGGTGAGGGGCAGAGAGAGAGGGAGACACAGGATCTGAAGCAGGCTCAGGCTCTGAGCTGTCAGCACAGAGCCCAACATGGGGCTAGAACCCACAGACTGTGAGATCATGACTTGAGCTGAAGTCGAACACTTAACCGACTGAGCCACCCAGGTGCCCCGTCTGCCCTCCCTTCCTCATGCTCCCTCTCTCAAAAATAAACCTTAAAGATTCTAAAAATAAAAATATAAATAAAAGGTAACTGTTTAACAGTTTCTTCAGGGTAGAAAGTCAGTTCAGAGAGAGAATTAGTAAAATGTGAGTACTCAGGTAAAAAAAAAGATAGAGAAGAGCAGTAGTAGTTACATCAGTCATATCATACTTTATTTTAGGTACCTCTTGTGTTTTTAATTTTTCATTAGCCTTCTGTAATGAATTTCTGCATGAAGCTATTTTAGAACCTTAGAGCCTTTTGGAAGTTTCTGCCTTCCAATTAAAATAGGTATTCTATTTCGTACATTTAATTCAGGAATCCTTACTTTTAAGTGCTCTTCTGCAGAGAAACATCTTGTCTCAACTGGAACATTCCCCACAAAGGCCACTGTAATTCTAGGCTGTTTTTAGTAAAAACGTTGTCAATCTCATAAATATTCACAGCTCCTGGTACCACAGATTTTAGACATAAAATAAACATGTATGCTGGACGATAATGCACCTGATTGTAGAATGTAAGAATCCCATTAGCTATATCTTTGGGTCTCTTGAAGCAGAACTAATACCTAAAAGGGATATGGTACTGAGTTTGGGTTTCTGCATGTTTAAAAAAAAATTTTTTTTAATATTTTATTTATTTCTGAGAGAGACAGCCTGAGCAGGGGAGGGTCAGAGAGAGAGGGAGATACAGAATCTTAAACAGGCTCCAGGCTCTGAGCTAGCTGTCAGCACAGAGCCAGACGCGGGGCTCGAGCCCATGAACCATAAGATCATGACCTTAGCAGAAGTCGGATGCTTAACTGACTGAGCCACCCAGGCGCCCCTCTGCATGTTTTATAGTGTGCCTCACTGCACAGACATTTTCTTGAGGCCAGGTAACTTACCATCAGTCTAACCAGTTCTATAGCCAACTTATCCTAACATGGGAGTCTTTAGTTAGGAATGCTTGCTTCCTTGCTTCCTAGCAGCCTTAAACTCTTGACCCTTGCCTACCAACTTTTACAGCTCTTTGGCCTCCAAGATCCTGGCTAGCAATAGCTTTTATTTACACAAAACAAGACAAATAAACATGCACTTGAGCACATAAGGACTAATCAAAATATGTCACTGTGGACTAGCAACAGAAGGCCCCATGTGCACCACCAGCAATTCCCTGCATGGACTAAGCTAGCAAACCCCAATCAATGAGGAATGCAAATGGGAAATAGGAAAGGAGTCCAATGTGAAATTGCAGACTAAATCCGGGGCTATGGACTAGTGCTCTATCAGAGCCTCCTCTATCAGACTAGAATGACTCATTAATCCTGGACTGGAAAGCCAATTAGATCAGTAGCTCAGACACAAAAAAGAATGCAACTAAAACCAAGAGGGACTTACCAGAGCCCTCAGAATGGCAAAATAGACTATAAATTCAAAAGGGTTTTCAAGGTGCCACGCCTATGTTCCTTCTTGTCCCCAAATGCATCAGAAGTTCAGCTGGTATCCTGATGTTGTCACCAAATCTGTTAGAAAACAAAATTTTATCAAGAAATTTGAAGATCTAATTGTTTTTTTAAAATGATTCATGAATCAGGCAGCATTCCAGCTAGCAAGCAGAGGGGAATTCCACCCAAGTTAAATAAAAGGAAGGTTTCTAAAAGCAAAGACCAGGCATATAAAGAGGAATTTATTAGCCAGGAATGCACTGTTTAAGCAAGGTCACCTTTCTTAGGGGAATGAAATGGGGTTTTCATCATACTTCCTAGTACTGCCCAGAATATTCCATTGAGTGATTAATGGTTAAATTCCGAGAAGCCTAAAACTAGGTCAGTTAGATATTAAGTCTTGTTTTTTGACATGGGGCCTTAGCCTAAGTAACTTCATCACGGGCCTATGGTTTTATCTTTAACAATATGTATGAATATCTCACAACTCAACATCATATTTAACAATGAAGGACAGAATGCTTCCCTGCTAAGACGGGGAACAATAGAAGGATGTCTACTCTGGCCACTTCTGTTCAACACCGTACTGGAAATTCTAGCCAAAGCAGTAAAGATAATTTTTAAAACTGAGAAAGGAAAACAGAAAACTGTGATTTGCACACTACAAATAGGAAGTCCAAGGAATCACAAGGAAACTATTAGAAATGGTTGAAAAATTTAGCAAGCGCACAGGATAGGAGATCAATACACAAAAATCAACTGTATTTATATATACTAACAACAAACATTACCAAAATGAAACTTGAAAACAAGTCAATTAACAACAGCATCAAGAAGAATACAACAGAAACTTAAATGTGAGACCTGAAACCAATAAAATCCTAAAAGAGAACCCAAGCAGTCATTTCTTTGACATCAGCCATAGCAACATTTTTCTAGCGATGTCTCCAGAGGCAAGAGAAATAAAAGAAAAATAAACTACTAGGGCTACATCAAATAAAAAGCTTCTGCACAGTAAAGCAAAAAACAAAACAAAAAGACAAGCTACTCAATGAGAGAAGATATTTTTAAATGATCTATCTGATAATGGTTAGTACCCAAAATCCATAAAGAACTTATATAACTCAACATACACTAGAACAAATAATCCAATTAAAAAGTGGGCAGAACACATGAACATTTATGCAAAGGCACTTATGCAAAGAAGACATACAAACAGCCAACAGACATATGAACGATGCTCAACATCAGAGAAATGCAAATCAAAACCACAATGAGGGATCACCTCACGTCAGAATAGCTAAACTCAAAACCACAAGAAACAACAAGTGTTGGCGACAATGAAGAGGAAAAGAAACCCTCCTGCCACTTGGTGGAAATACAAACTTGTGCAACCACTGTAAAAACCAGTATGGAAGCTCCTCAAAAAATTTTAAAAAGACGTTAAAAAATATATACTATTGGGTACTTGCCAAAGAATACAAAAACACTCATTTGAAAAGATACATGCACCCCTCTGTTTACTGAAGCATTATTTACCATAGCCAAAATATGGAGGCAACCCAAGTGTCCATTCATAGATGAATGGATAAAGAAAATGAAGTGTACACACACACACACACGAAGAAAATTATGCTATGTGCAACAACATAGATGGATCTACAGGGTATAATGCTAAGTGAAATAAGTCAGAGAAAGACAAATGATCTCACTCATATGTGCAATTTCAGAAACAAAACAAATGATCAAAGAAAAAAAGAAACAAACCAAAAAACAGACTCTTAACTATAGAGAACAAACTGGTGGTTACTAGAGGACAAGTGGATGAGGTGAAATAGGGTGAAAGGGATAAAGAATATACTTATCATGACGAGCAGAGAATACTGTATAGATCTCCTGAATCACTATACTGTACACCTGAAACTAATACAAGTTAATTCCACTGGAATTTTGAACACATAAATACATATGCATTTTGAAAGAATACAATACATAGAAACATATTTAACAAAAGCATGAGACTTATACATTGAAAACTACAAAATAACACGGAGAGAAATTTTTAAAGATCTAAGTAAATAGAAAATGTTTTGTATTTGTGGACTGTAAGACTTAATATTAAGTTGGCAATAACCCCCAAATTGATTTAGAAATTCAATGCAATCTCTACCAAAATCTTACATGGCATTTTTACAGAAAGTAATAAGCTGATTCTAAAACTCAAATGGAAATGTAAGGACCCAGAAGAGCCAAACAATTTTTAAAAAGAACAAAGTTGAAGGACTTATATTACCTGAAATACCAGGAAAGTCTTCCCTAAAGGACATCTATGCTTAGCCCACTGAAATAGATGGGCAGGACACTCGTTTCCCTATTAGTAACTTGAAGTCAGGCTCATGACATCATCCTTACTCCCCCACCACCAAGAAACATTTTAGTAATAACCAAGTAGTGAGGTGCCATCTCTCTGAGGTGATGCTATCATTTCAACCAGAACTCTATAGTCCTTATAACTCTCTCCCTTGACCTGATCAATTAGCGAAAACTCAATTATCTGCTTAGTCCTTTTGTTTACAAAGTCTTTCAATTGTTCTATCTATGCAATAGGCTATCTGTTATAACAAAATTATGGAATTGATATACTGTCCAATTTCTATAGCTATGGAAATTAGTGCACAGTGTCATTAAGTTACTTGCCCTAGGTCACCCAGTAAATGGTACCTTTTTGTGTGCTAAGGACAGGAAGAGCTTAAAAAGTGAATAATCATGTTCTAAGTTAGAATCAACTAATTCTGATAAAGCATTCAATTAAACTCTAAAGGTAGATAAAACAAGTATTTCCCTACTGTTGGGAAGAAATCAATGCTCTAAATTTTGAGGTGATATATCCAAGTATAGTCATTTGATGATGATTTACTGGTGGCTACATACATCCAAAACTGGAGTACAATGTGAAAAAAAGAGAGAAAATTTAATTAATTTTTACAAAGACAACAACTTATACAATTTTTTTCTTTTCAGAAAAGTAAGGAAACAAGGACCTTTCAGAGAAAAGAGTAATACCAGAGAAGGTAGACCTCCTGGGGGTTTGCGGATCCTCCACATTTACAAAAGCATTTTCAGAAAGGCACTGAAAATTTCTCTCAAAACACAAAATTTTGGCTTTGCCATATACCCGTAGGCCTTTTCCTACCACTTACTTCTCTTAACCCTTAAATGCTTTCCAAAAAACTGAGAAGTGAGAAAGAGGACCACAGAGGAGTCGAGAAGTTGTACCCAGAGAGAGAGAAAACAAAAAAACAGAAGACAGTGGAATCATGGAAGCCAAGAGAAGGATTTAAAAAAAGAGTGGTTTTTATATTTTATATTTTTACAAAATATAAGAAAGAAATATCGGGGCACCTGGGTGTCTCAGCTGGTTGAGCGTCTGACTTCAGCTCAGGTCATGGTCTCCTCGCAGTTCATGAGTTCGAGCCCCGCATCGGGCTCTGTACTAACAAACAGCTCAGAGCCTGGAACCTGCTTCAGATTATGTATCTCCCTCTCTCCCCCATCCCCTGCTCATGATCTGCTTCTCTCTCTCAAAAATAAACAAATGTTAAAAACAAGTTTTTAAGAGAAATTATTAAGCAGCCTATTGGCACGAGAAGAAATGAAAGAGATTTTATTCAGGAGAGAGTGAACTCAACCTCAAAGTAGCACTCACCATCAAAGGAATAACTGAGGTGAGGAATAACTAACCCTACCAGTCATCAAAGAAGCAAGGTTGTGTTGGGATAAAACTGCTTGCCTACTCAGACAGCAGCAGGTCTCAGATGTACTTGGGTCCTCAGGAGGGGATCCGGCAACAGCCTCCGTGGCAAACACTTTCTCAAAGGTCTGTAGCACCCTGGCCTCTGACCAAAGATAGATCTCTTTTGGACCACAAAACACACAATCCACAGTTAATCAGAAGCTCTCACACTTGGGCTCCAGACTCTTCATTCTTGATGCTGCTTCCAAAGATTAAGTTTCCATAAGTGAGTCTGATATAACAATTTAGGTCAATGGTCCATAAAGCTTAGAATACAATGTATTTTTACTGTAAGCTTCTAAATCTAAAGTATATCCGTGAAAACACACTTTTGTATTTTACCATTATTTCAGAAAGCCCTAAACCAGATCTAAGCTGGTGAACTACACCAAGTTTGGGAAGTTCTGAAACTACAGGTAAAAATTAGTGTGCAGCTCTTTAGAGAGAAATTCCTTGATTTTCGTAAGATTCTCAAGGTCTGCCACCCAAGGGTTAACAGTCATTGTAAGTACATTTTTTTCCTTACTAGAGTCCTATTTATGATCATTCGTTTTATTTTTTTAATGTTAATTTGACAGATCGAGGGAGGGGCAGAGAGAGAGAGACAGAGAGAGAGAGAGCGAATCCCAAGCAGGCTCCACACTGTTACCCCGATGAAGGTCCCAACCCCACAAACCATGAGATCATGACTTGAGCATAAGTCAAGAAATGGTCAGTTAACTGACTGAGCCACCCAGGTGCCCGGATCATTCATTAAATAATTTGCATCCATCCTTTACATTCATGTGGGAAATCCGGGTATATATATCCACTAGGAACATGGATATAAGGGCCAAAAATAAAACTTGAGAAAGATCTGAAAACAAACAAATAAAAAAACCAGTTTAACAAACCATAAACCTATAAACAGTTGTTAAAGTAACAGGAGTGGATAAGATGTATTCTCCTACAGGATAGCATTATGAAAAAGGAAACTGGAATTACACCAGGAAACACATACAGCAGAAAGGCAGGCCAACAATGAAGAACCAGAAAGGGAAGCTGGGGAAAAGGGGAAAACCAAGAATCATTACGTGTGCTTCTGTTAACAGGGAGGGAAAAAAGGTAAAAATTCCTACTAAATTTGGCCACTAGGAGGACCCCGACCATTTGACCAGACAATTTCAAGGAATTAGCGCAGACTCACTGTGTCAAAAAATGAAGGGAAGTGCTTGCCAGTGAAACCAAGAAGACAGAGAAGATGGCAGCTATGAGCCCATAACGTACAAGAGACGGC